CGTTAAATCGAGATAAAATAATTATAGAAGAATTTGGTTTTGAAAATTTATCCGTTAAACCCCTAAATCCGCTAAATTGAGATCCGTTAAACCGAGATACACTGTGTATAAGCATAATATATAGACTAAGGAGGTTATAAAAGGTTTTATTTCAATCAATTGAATTCTGGTGAAGATAACAATCAATTCTGGTAATGATTAATTTGCAAAAAATCACAATGAGACAACATAAAAATGTTAATAAAAATATTTATTTATTTAATAAAAATAATAAAAATAATACATAAATTATTTAATTTCTATAATTTTTATTTTTATTTTTTTATTTTAAATTTAATTATCACCACACCTTTCATCTTCATCAATAGTACTTTTTTTAATTAAATAAAGTAATCATAATTAATAAAATTATATTGTTATTTAAATAAATATATTTAAAATTTAAAAACCTTACTTTGGTAAGTTGATGATTATAGATATTCTCCCCACCTGTTTTTATTTCTTTTATTTGTGATGTTACTTCAAGGACACCTTCTCCAACATAATAAAGAGTAATCTCATCTTTCACTGTTATTGTTGGTATTAACAGTGTTATATAAGTATGGGCACTTTATAAATATAGAGGTAAAGATAATGTTAGACAAAAATAAAATTTAATAAAACTTATGATAATTACTAAGTAACTTACAGTTAAGAGTTGGAGTGATGATGGCGGTGATGGTGGTGATACAAATAATTAAAAAGAGCAAATGTGTTCTTGAAAGAAAGCAAAAGAGCAATTCTTGGAAGGAGAGCAAAAGAGCAAAAGAAAAATCCTTCCAAGAAAAAAAAAATCTTTTCAAGTAACAAAGCTTTTTTTAAAGAATTCCATACCCATATTGTTTATTGTTATTATTATTGTTGTTGTTGTTATTGGTGGTGTTATTTATTATTATTATTATTTATTCAACGTTTAAAAAAAAATTTTATGGTGGGAATAAAATTTTTAATTGTGGCTGCATAAATTTTATTTTGCGAGTTTTGGAAGGAGATTGTGACACAGCAAATGTTAATCTTTTTTTTGTGTTAATTAATCAACAGAGTGGCTGCAAGTGGCTGGAAGGCCAAAATATTAGTCACGGGTTCTAAAAGTAGAAAATTTTGAATGAGTCTAAGATTTTCCATCAACTTATCTCAAGAATTGGTAGAATTACAAAATTTTTGGATTCAAAATCAGTTGCAAAAGGTTTAAGAGAATCAAAGATGATTTTTTTTATACATCAATGAATGATAAAAGGTTTTATTTCAATCAATTGAATTCTAGTGAAAATAATAATCAAATGATAATGAATAGTTGATTACAATGAGTAATTTAGGTGTAGATTATTGATATTTTAAATTGATGATCTTTAAAGTCTACATAATAACAATATATGTTTTTTTTTAGTATGATAAGTGATGGAACTTTAGCTTTTGAATGAGTCTAAGATTGTCAACTTATCTCAAGAATTGGTAGAATTGTAAATTTTTAAATTTTTCATTTGTAAAAAGTTTAAAAAGATCAATTTTTTTATACATCAATGAATGATAATCATGTATAAGCATAATATATAGTCCCAGATTTTAACAAAGAAAACAGATATTTTGTTAATAATTATGTTTAAATATTTATTTCAAGTATTATATTCAATAAATAGGATACAATTTAGTTCACATATTAAAAAAAAACTCATATTTTGTAAAAAAAAAACTCCAAAGCTATATTCGTTTATTGTTCACTTATTGTTTGTTTATTGTTTGTTTAATATTTGAGGTGTATAATATTTGTAATATAATACATATTTAATACATATTAAAATATAGCTGCATTATCTACACAAAATATGCATATTAAATATGGGCATGTATAATATACACTTTAATTTATGTATTTAATATGCCAAATTAAATTATATATATATAATACATATTTTATAGCAAATATTATTTGTATATTTTTTAATGCAAATTTTAAACAAATAATAAGCAAATATTATTTGCTATAAAATATTTAGTATAGAATAATCGAATAATATACAAATAATAAGCATACAGAATTTATTATGCTAATTACACGCTAATTATATGTAGAATATTTGGAATTGGTTTTCTTGATGTTGTACTCTATGTGATGTTGCTTTATGTTTAAGCTCAAAAAGAAATTGTTTTGTAGAATATCACAGTAATAATAATT